GGCGGAGAACGGAGGCGGAAGAGGCGCAAAGCGAGGGGAGAGAGAGACAAGGACCGGGGAGGGGGAAGGGGAGAAAGAGGAGAGGGGGGGCAAAAGACGCGAGGGAGGGGAGCGGGGGCAAAACACGCGGAGGGGCGAAGGGGAGCGGGGGGCAAGACACGGAGGGGCGGGGGAGAGCGGGGGGCGAAAGACGCGGAGGGGAGGGGAGCGGGGGGGCGAGACACGCGGAGGGGGGGGGAGCGGGGGCCAAGACAGCCGGAAGAAGGGCGGGGGAGCACGGAGGCACGAGGGAACGGGGGGGGAAAAGAGGGAAGGACGCCGAGAAGGGAAGGGAGGAAAGGGACGAGGAAGAGGACGCCACGGCCGAACCACGAGAAAAGGCCGCGCGCAGGGACAGACCGCACGGACAGAAGGCGCGCGAGCGAGCGAGCGGAGCCGACGAACCCGGGGACGAGGCACAGGGAAGCGGAAGCGGCCGGGGGGAGAGGGGGGCACGGAGGCAGGGACGCAAACGGCGCGAGCGGAAAGAGGGAAGGAGGCGAAGCAAGGGGGACGGGGGCAGGGAACAGGCGAGCAACGGGCGACGGGACACGAGAGGGAGGAGCAGCGGGAAGAGGGGGGAGAGAGGGAGGGACACCAGCGCCGGGAGAGAGGCAAGAGAGCGCGGGCACGGACACGGCAGCGGAGCAGGAAGGACCGGCAGGGAGGCAAGGAGGGGGGGCAGAACGCGGGACAGACGAGGAGGCCGCGGGGCAGGGGAAACGGACGCGAGGGACGGGGACGGAGAGGGGAAAGGACCAAAGAGGGAGGAGGGGGAAAAAGGGGAAAGGCGAGGCACCCCCCCCCCCCCGCGAGACGGGCACCACCCGAGCGGGACCAACAAGGGGGAGCAGAGGGGGGGCGAGGGGAGGCAAGCGGGGACGGCGAGACAGAGCGCGAAAAAGCAAGAGGAGGAAAAGAGAGAGGGCGCGGGCCCAAAAGCGAGGAGGGGCCGGAGAAAAAGGGGAGGAGGGGAAAAGGCGCAGGCAGGGACAGGGAGCCGCAGGACAGGAGGAAAGGGGGGAAGGGGGACAGGGGGCCGAGGGAGAGGGGCAAGGCAAACACCGCAGCCGGACAAACAAGGGACACGCCACAAGACAGGCCAAAACCAAAAGGGAAGGGGCGCGGGAAGAGAGAACAAGAAAGAACGGGGACAAGAGGGCCAAGGAGAGGGGGGGAAAGCGAGCGAGGACACGAGAGGCCAAAAGGGCGAAAGGGCAAGCCGCGAAGGAAGGGGGGGAAACGCGCAGGCAAAGGGGGGAAGGAGACGAGCAAGAAAAGGAGAAGAAGCGCACCAGAGCAGGAAAGAAAGGCGAGGAGGGCAAAAGGCGAAACGGCGAGAAGAGGACCGACAGGGAAACAAGAGGGGCCAAAAGCGGAGGAGAGAGGAAGGAGCGGGGAAAAGAGAGGAAGCAAAAAGAAAGCGCACGCAAAAGGCGACGGGGGCGACCAGCGACAGGGGACAGGAAGGGCACGGCCAGGAGAGAGCAGAGGGAGCGAAAAACCCGAGCGACCGAGAAGCGCGGGAGGGAGCGAAAAGCGGAGGAAGGGGAGAGGAAAGCAAGAGGAGAGGAAGAGCAGGAAGAAAAGAACAACGCACGGAGAGCCGAGCAACCAGCAACCGGCAAGGGCAGGACAAAAGGGGGAAGGAGGCCGAAGGAGCAAGGGGCGCGCGGGGGCAAGAAAGGGAGGAAAGGCAGGAAGAGAAGCAACGACAAGAAAAAGCCACAAGGGAAAGCGGGGAAGGCAACAAAGAAGGCGAAGAAAGAAAGGGGGAGGAAGAGGCGAAGGGAGGCGACAACGGGAGAAAGCCGGGACACGGGGCAGCAAGGGGCCACACCCCAAGGGAAGGAAAAGGCAAGAGACAAAGAGGGCGAACGCGCAACAGGAAGAAGGCAAGACCCAAAGAGAAAAGGGCACAAAGGAGAGAAGAAAAGCACGGAGGAGGGACCCACGGGAGAGAAGGGAGGCAGAAGAAGCGGCAAGGGAGGAAAGGGACACCGCAAAAGGAGGACAAGGCAAGGGGGGGCAGGAGCAGCGCCAACAACGCACCCGACGAGGACAGGGGGCGGAGGGCAAAGGGAAAGGGAAGAAAAGGAGGGAACAGCGAACGCGGAGGAGGCGGGCAAGGCGGCAGGGGCGAGAGAGGCCGGCGGGCACGGAAGGGAAGAAGGGCAAACCGGAAGGGACACGCACGCGCAACGCAAAGAGCGCAAGGGCGGGGGAGGCGCGAAAAAGAGCAAAGAAAGGAAAAAGGGCAAAAGGCGCGACGGGAAGGGAAAGACGGGAAAGAGAAAAGGAGGGGCGGCAAGAAGAGGGGAAAGCAAGGGAAGGGAGAGAACACAACCGGAGAGAGGGGAGAGCAACAGGGACACAGGCAGCCAAAAGAAGGGACAAAAGGGGAAAGAGGCAAAAACCCGCAAGGGAGAAAACCGGACGGGGGAGGAGCCAGCGGGGGCGCAAGCCGCCAAGAAACGGGGCCAAGGCGACGACGACGGGAAAGAAGAAAGGCCAAGGAGGAAAAGGGGGAAAAGGGCAAGAAAGCACAGGGAGACAAGGAAGGGGGACCAAACGAAGGGCAAAAGGAAGGCGGGGAGGCCGAAGCCGCAAAGAAACAAGAGGGCGCCGAAACAGGAGACAAAAAGGCAAAAGGGGGGCCGAAAGGGAAAGACACCAAGGAGGCGAGGGCACAAAGCCCGCAGAGGAAAAGGGGAAGGAAGCCAAGAAGGGAGGCAGGGAGAGGGAGCCCGCAAACAAGAGGGGGGGGAGGAGAGGAAACCAGGGACGAAGGCCAGAGGGAAGGCCGAGCAGAGGCGCAAACAAGCGACGCCCACGGGCCAAAAAAGCGAGGAAAGGGGCAAAAACCGGCACAAAAAAGGGGGGCAAAAAGGAAAGAGGAGGAGAAGGGGGGAAGGGGGACCAAGCACCGAAACGGAGAGCAGGGAGGACAAGGGGGAGGGGGGGACCAAAAAGGACGAACACCCAAGGACCCAAAGCAAGGGGGGGACCGAAAAAGGGGGAAGGGAGGGGCAGGAAGGGGGGGACGGCGAGAGGGGAGGGCGAGACACAGGACGGGAAAGAAAGCGAGGCGGGGGAAGCGGAAAAAGAGCGAAGGACCAAAAGGCGGAGGCGGGGGAAAGGAACGAGACGGCAGAACAAAAGGAAGGGGGACAAGAGGGCGAAAGGGGGGAAAAGCGAAGAGGGAGCCGGGGGGAAGGGCGAAAAGGCAACGGGGGAGGACAAGGCAAGGGGGGACAAAGGAGAGCGAGGAGAGGGCGGCAAAGACAAGGGCCAAGGGAAGAAGAAGGCCGCGGGAGAAGGGGGCGCGAAGGAAGAAGGAAGAAAAAGAGGGAGGGGGGGAGGGGAACACAACAAAAGAAGCAGGGGGCGACGAGCAAACAACGCACACGCAACAAGGGGGGAAGGGCACAAGAAGGGAAGCAGCGAAACGGCAAGACGAGCAACAAGCGAGCAAGAAACAAACGCGGGAAGGGCGACCCGACAGGGGGACAAGAAAGAGCAAAGAGGGGAGGCGGGCCAAAGAGGAAAGCAAAGCAAGGCAGCGGGCAAAGCCAAAGCGCAAGAAGCGACAACAAGACCGCGAAGGCGACGACACAGGGAGCGAGGCGGGCCAGGAGACCCAGGAAGGCGAAGGGGGAAGAAAGAGACACGAGGGGGGGGGAGGAGGGGGCCAGGGACACAGGGACGAGAGGGCGCAAAAGAAAAAGGAAGGGGAGCAAAAGGGGCCAGAACGACGCAAGCGACGACAAAACGAGAAAGACGGGAAAAGGGCAAAAAGCCGAACGGAGCGGGGAACAGGAGGGCGGGAAGCAAGGAAGGAAGCCGACGGCAAGGCGCAAGGAAGGCGACAGCAAGGAGCGGCCGCACGGACACCGCAACAAAAGGGGGGAGCCGAAAGAAGAAAGAGAACGCGAAAAGAAGCCGCACGAGGGAGGAGGACGGCAGCCGAGCGACCGAAAAGAGAGGGGGCGGAAGCAAGCAACACCGCGGGCGACACGCAAAAGCGAAGCGGGAGACACAAGGCGGACAAGAAGACGCCGGACGAAGGAGGGAAAGGGAGAAAACCGAAACGCAAGGAGGGCAGACGGGGGGCAGCAAAGGGGGAGGCGGAAGAAGGGGAAAACAGAGCGAAAGACGGGGGAGGAGCGGGCAGAGGAAGGAAGAGGGGGGGAGAGGCAGCGACCAGCAAAGCAGGCAGAGGAGGGAACAAGAAAGCAAGGGGGGGAGAAGAAGCAAGGCAGGGGACAGGGGAGGAAGCGCAGAAGAAGGAAACCCAGAGCAACAAAAAGGAGCAGGAAAGGGGCAAGGGGAAAAAGCAGGGAAGGAGACGGACAGAGCGGGGAAAGAGCAAAGGGGACAGGGGAGGGAGCAAGGGGACAGGGAGGGCAAGAGGGAAGGACACGGGGAAGCAAGGAAGAGCCACACGGGGAAAGCAAAAGGCGCAAGGGGAAACACAAGGGGGAGAACAAGCGGAGGAGCAAAAGGGAGCGACCGCCAACGGACCGACGGAGCAAGGAAACGGGGAAAAGCCCAGGCAACCGACAACCGGACGGGAGAGGGCGCAAAAAGCACCCGCCAGAGCGAGGAAGGGGAGAGCCACGAGAAGGAGGAAAAACAAGGGCCGCAAAGAGACAGACGGGAGGGGCGGGGGGCGGGCGCAGGGGGAGCCCACAAGCAGGGAAGAAGCGCGAAGGGAGCCAGAGGGAGGAAGGCAAGGCAAGAAGAGCGGGAGCAAGGGAAAAGAAGGGACGGAGGGGAAGGAGGGCCAAGACCGGAAAAGGACAAGGGAAGGGGAACAAAAGGGGGCGGCGGAAGAAAGCAAAGGAGGAGGGAAGGGGCAGACGAAAGAAAGCACGGGAGGGGCAAAAGGAGAGGCACAAGAAGAAGGCAGAGACGGCGAGGAAACGGGGGCACCCGGGGCAAGACGAGAAGCCAGCAGAAGAGGGCGAGCAGGAGGCCGCGGACAAGAAGGGCACGGGCGAGCAAAGGGACGGGAAAAGGGCAGGGGGAAAGGGCGGACGGGAAGAGGAAGGCGACGGGGAGACAACCGCCCGGGGGCGAGGGAAAAGGGGAGAGGAAGAAGGGCGACAGAGGAAAGAAGGCGGGAGAGGGGGGAAAACAAGCACCGAGAGCGGGGGAGGACACGCCGAGCAACGGGCCGAAGGAACGGGGGGGGCACAAAAGGCCGGGGGAGAAAACCGGGGGAGAAGGCAAGAAAAGGAGCACAGGGGAGGGGACAAAGGGAGGGGAGGAGAGGAGGGGGGAGGACGAAGAAAACGGGAGGGGAGAAAGGGGCCAAGCGAAGGCAGAAGAAGGGCGAGAGGAGCAGGAGGGGAGAGGGGAACGACGGGCGGGGAGGACAAGGAAAGCAACGCAACGAAGGAAGAGGCAGCAAGCAGGCCAAAGACACGAAAAGAGCGGAGAAAGAAAGGCGGGCAAGAGGGAAAAGCCGCAAGCAAGAGCCCGAGGAGCACAGCGGGAAGAGGGGAGAAAGAGGAGGAAGGCAAGGACGGGGACGAAACAAAAGAGCGAGGAAGGAGGGGAGCAGGACGAGACCGCACGGCAAGCCGACCAGAGAGAGCGGACGGCAGGGGGAGGAGGGGCGAGGGGCCAGGCAAAGCCAAAAGAAAGGCAGGGCGGGCGACCAAGAAAAGCAGCCGAGACCGAAAAGGAACAGGCAAGGGGGGAGGAGGGGAGCCCAAAGGAAGGGAAGGGGACACGAACGGGGGGCGCAGAGGCCAGAGGGGCAGGAGGGAAAAGCGAGCGAAAAAGGACCGCAGGGACAGGCCAGGGCGGAGGGGGAAGAGGGGGAGCAGGGGGGAGCAAAAAGCAAAACGCCAGAGCGACAAGCACAGCCGAAGCGGAAGAGAGAGCCGGCGGGGAGGGGGGGCGCGCAAAGGCGGGGGAGGAAACAACAGCGGAAAGAGGAGGGCGGGAAGGGGAAAAGGGCAACAGACGGGGGGACAAGACAAGGGCCAGAGCGAGAACACACAAGCCGGGGGACAGGCAAGAACAAAACACAGGGAGGGGAGACAGCAGGGGAGCCGGGAGCAGGGCGAAAAGAAGGAAGGAGCAAGGGAAGACAGCCCGACCGAGAAGCAAAGAGCGGAGAGGCGCACAAAACCGCGGGGGGAAGCAAGAGGGGCGAAAGGAAGACACGAGAGGGCAGGAGGGAAGGGAGCGAAGGGCGAAACGCGAGGGAAAGGAAAAGCGCAAGGGGCAGCGGAAAAGGCGGGACGGGGAGCGGAGGGAAGGCGCGGGCCGAGGGGGCGCACAGGCAAAAGGGGGCACAGCGGAACAGGGAAGGCGACAGCGAAGGAAAAAGCAGAGAGGCAGGCAGGGCGAAACCGGGGAGCGAGCGACACGAGAGGCACAAAGAAAAAGAGGAAGAGCGACACAAGCGGACCAGGGAAGAGGGGACAATGAGGGGAGGAGGAGGGGGAGCCGGAAAGAAGAACACCGGGGAGGGGAGGGGCCAGAAGAAAGAGGCGAAAAGAAGCAAGGCGCGGGCGGCCAAGCGACAGAAAAACGGGGAGAGAGACAGCACAGAGGAGGGGCGGAACAGAGGGAGGCGCGAGGAAGGGGAGGCAGGGAAAAGCAGGCCGAGCAGCGAAAGGGGGGCGCCACAGCAGCAGACAAAGGGGAGGGAGAGAAGAGAACCGAAACGAACGAGCAGGGAGGGCAAAGGGGGGAAAGCAGGGGAAGAGCAAAAAGACCCCGCACGGAGGAAAAGGCAACAGGCAAGGGGGAGGAGAGGGGGGAAAGACACCGCCGGGCCACCAACCGGGCGAAAGAGCCACCAGGACACGCAAAACGCGCAAAACCGGACAGCGGCCAGAGCCGAAACAGCGCAAGCGGCAGCGCGGGCAAAGCGGCAAGCGCCGCAAGCGCGAAAAAGACCAAGCACAGGAGGGCGGCCAGGGGAGAGGCAAGCGCGCAACCGAAGGAAGAACACGCGACACAACGCAAGCGCACCGAAGCGAGCAGGGGGAAGCAAGGCCAGGAGGAAGGGGGGACCCGCAAGGAGGGCGCAAAGAAGCCGAAGAACGCGCAAGCGGCACAAAGAAGCAGCCAGGCACGGCAACAAAGGAAGCGCAGGAGGGGAGGGGCGGAGCCAGACGCAGGAGGGGAGGAGGAAGAGGGAGCAGAGGGGAGAGGGAAGGCCAAGGGGGGGGAGGGACCAGGAGGCCACCGGGAAGGGAACGCGCAGCACCAGGGAGGAACAAGAGGGGCACACAACCGGGGGACGGCCGAGAGCGAGGCCAGAACAACCACGGGGGGACGGAGAGGGGCACACAGAGGAGCACACGGAAAGGGGGACAGAAAGGCGGAAGGAGAAGGCGGCGCGCGAACCAAAGCGGGCCGGG